GATATGTTTTTCTTCTTCACAGATTTCCTCTGTGACGCGTTGACTTCCACCTAAACCCGATGACGAGAGCGATGATTGCTCGTCCATGACGAGCAGGCAAGGCCGGGAAAGAGCGCGACGTGATTGCTATTCATTCCCGTTTTTACTGTGTAAGTAATTGACGGATGCAAGTAAAACGTCAAAAATATTACGAAATGCCACTCGTGATACTATCGATACAAAATAGGTTCTTAACTTTTGTCTGCACTGTCACTATTTTATATTAATTAAAAGTACATTCTTCACTGTTACTTCCAAATTATAGTCACTCATTAACCATCATGTTCAATATTGATCATAATTTTGATAGTTTCCAGTATAAATTTATAGATTCATATAGATGTTGAACTCCATAATAAGTGACTTTACGGGGCCATAAATGATATACATCGAGTTCGTTTATTGCTCCAATTGAAGTATGCGGGCAGTGCTCGAAGTCTAAATATCTGCGGGTCATTTTCATCATATTGTTATACATCGATCGACGAGGTAATGATACATCTCGTCTGTGAAATATATATATAGAAATTATAAATTATTTGACGGAAATTACAAAATTAATGTTTATTGTATATGCACATAAATTAGCAAAATAATAAATGTCACATTATGTAGATATTAATATAGAAAAAATATAAATTTATTTCATGTATCATCATAACTGTAAATATCATTGTAATGTTATAAAAAGCATTTTTATAAAATTTTATTTGTGATCTTTCAGTCGAAGGAATTAATTATATAATTTTCAGCTTAAAAAATTCAATATTTTAAATAAATCTAATTTTATCCATTATTAATAATCACTAAAATTATGAAATTATAAAATTTGTATCGATTGGATACTTTATTACAGTCTAATGAAATTATATAGTTCATTCATCATATATATTTTGCTTCATATACGTATACCATATTCATACATTATAACATTCAAACATACTGGGAATATCGTAAACCGAGAACTACGTTTATGCGTGTTCGATCAAGGCGTGAGGGGAAAAAAAGTGCGAATAATACATGTTACACGTGGTAACGATGTTCTGAATAGCGCTCGAGCTGCCTCGACGAGCACTTGGCGTAAGAGCATTGAGAAGGTCACGTGTCGACTCGTGCATACCGGATGTCATGGTTTTGTCGTATTTAACGCCTCCTCTATGGTCTATTCACTTCGCGGTAAAAGCATGGGCGGTTCCTTTTCCGCCTAAATAATCAACAACGAGGTGTAGAGACCCGTGCCATGAGAAACGAACGTACGCGATAACGTTGGATACTTAACAATTGACGCTGGATAACAAATTAAAAGACGGTGTTTATTTTAATATAAAAGATATTACTGTTCCCCTTGACAGAGAAATGTTCGATCTTGAAAAAAAAAATATTTACTAATAATACACTAAAAGCAAATGAAATTTTATAGTTTTTGTATCTATCTTAATTAATTGTAATTTTGTAAATTATAAATATATATTTTATTGTACATCCTTGTAAATAGAAAGTAAAAATTTCAAAGTTAAAAATTGTCGACATCTGTCCATTCTTAAACTACGATTTTTAAATGGGTGAAATATATTACGATGGCCGTCTGATACCCGGCACTCCTTCACGTTGACATTACTCGCCGTTACACTGACCGGCTTATTTCACCTACGCGGATAAGCGGACATTTTCACGGACGATTACGTGACGGGAGCATGGGAACTGGACTACGGGATGCCTCGATTTAGCGTTGCCGTAAATCTACGCGTGATTTGCAATGCATGCCACGGACGTTCGTGTGGGATCTCTCCGGTGAGCGTTAGGAGTGCCGCGTCAAGTATTGTCCCTTTTGACAGAATTGTCCCGTGGCAACTATTTTATGCACAATAGGCGTTTTGATAAAACTGCAAAGCAATGACCGTGATCGGTTTTGCTACGGTATTCGTTTACGAATGATCACTATCGACTACAACGTGTAAACAAACCGTAAGAACTATTATAGATTTTTTAAATGTAAAGAAATTTCCATTTCAAAAAAATATATTTTACATTAAATGAAGAAAAAATTCCAGAAAAAATTCCTGACTAAATTATACCAGCACGGAAAGAACAATTTTGTTAAAAGGTCTAAAAATTTTGCTAAAAACAGATCTGAAAATAATTTTTTTATTAAATCATTAAAATAATTTATTGGAATGTTAAAACTGATAAGCATTGCGATAAAATATTTTGATATTCTAGTGATCATTTTGACTTTTGCGCAAAATTATTTTGATTACTGAACAAAAATTATTTTCAGATCTAGATTCAGCAAAAGTGTTCTTTCCGCGAGGAGAAATAAAAAGTTTACGAATTTATACACGGAAAGCATTATTTTTACTGGAACGTCAAAAAAATTCTGATCTGAAAATAATTTTGTTGGACCATCAAAATAACTTTATTGGAAATTAAAAAATGATAAGCATTGCTGTAAAACGTTTTGACATTCTAGCAATCAGTTTGAATTTCTAACAAAATTATTTTGACAGTCCTACAAGAATTATTTTCAGATTTGTATTCAGCAAAATTTTTAGACCTTCCAGCAAAATCGTTCTTTCCATGTAGATAACTTTGTTTGCTAAAAGAGTATATTTTTAAGCAAGTTTGATTTCTAGCGTAATTTTGTGCAATTATTTTTAAATTTTCTTGGTACTGTATAATTATTCTTATTAGTATATAAATTCTACTTTGCTTCTGCGTTCGTAGCTCTCATTAATGCGTTCGACAAGTTTTCGTTTCGCATTTCAATGATATATTGTCCCCTAATGATTTTCTGATCCTCCACAATGTTATCGTGGACATCATCCACTTACGCATCGCGGGGGGGAAAGGGAGGGAGGCAATGGGGTTGTCGAAGAAAGTCGACTATGGGGGACTAAAGACACAGAGATAGATAGATAGATAGCTATAGATACGGGAAGAGAAACGGTGCGAGCGGTACAATTATCCTAATGGAACCGTGAAACACTAGCACGCATTATCGATTTGACGTAAGCACTTTTATACTGACTCTCTCTACGTCACTTATTAAGCTACAGTATATAACTTAGCGCAACAAGAAGCACAACCTTTTTCATCGTATACGAATATGAATTCTTAATTCAATGTGTGTTTCACGCATGTTTCAATGGCTCTTTCATTGCTTCTACTTCAAACACGTTGACTATCTTTTAAAGAAGCTTCTCCTCTTTTCCCATTACTTCTCAAAACACGCCGGCAAATGTTAGATTATAAGAGAAACAAATGCAAAGTGGAGAATAAAGTATAGATAAATGAATATAATTCGAAAATTAATGGGTCAATTTTAAGCAGAATCGTAAGGCTCGTAATTTGTTTTCTTACACGGAAAGAACAATTTTGTTGAAAGATCTAAAAATTTTGCTAAATACAGATCTGAAAATAATTTGTTATTAAATCATCAAAATAATTTGTTGGAATGTTAAAACTGTTAAATATTGCTGTAAAACATTTTGATATTCAAGCAATGGTTTTGACTTTCCAACAAAATTATTTTGATTATTGAACAAAAATTATTTTCTGATCTGGATTCAGCAAAAGCGTGTTCTTTCCGTATATATGAGACTTGTAAGAATTTATAACTGAATGCTTATAACTTTATGCAGTATCTTTACAGACAACTTCTTGCTATAATCGTAATAAGATTTACGAGAAATCATAGACATTTACGAATAATCGTACATCTTACGATACACGTAGAATTGCAATTCCAATCATAAGTTCTTACAAATCTTACGAAAGCAATTTAGCCTTATAATTTTGCTTGGAATTGATCAATGAATCTGTAATAAAAATTGGAGTTAAAGGGGCAGATATGTCGTCGAGATGACGATTCAAATCATACGTTTTTAATCAGAGAGTTCCTTTCCCTTTCCTCCCCCAAAGAAGGTCCCCTCGTTCGAGCGAACTGCAAAGTCCGCCGCGAAGCCATCTAAACGATTATTCCCAATTAACGGGCGGCCCACGAAAATCGGCAACAAACCCAGCGGGAAGGCGATCCTCGGATACATCGGCGCACACGAGAGAGACGTCGGAATGAACAATCCGCACTCGTCAGTACGTGCCACGTGCTCGCACGTGCCAGGAACGTGCCGCGACAACTGGTGCCCCGCTCGCGCGTCGCGCCATGTGCTCCGATGAATATGTACCACCCTGTATGTCGAGGGGGAAGGGGGGGGAGGGCGACACGCGCGTGTTGCTCCGCAGGGTGAAGGATTACCTCGCGGCGAGCGGTGACTGTGTTACTTTTACTTTATCTTCCATACAAAGGACGGAGTTTGCCAGACCGAACCGCCCTCTCCTCGCGTTCGGCGATTCTTTCCCTTTGCAAAAACGACCGCCGGGCAGCTGAACGCTCCTCGAATTGCGAGAGTCATCGGAAGTAAAAACAATCCTGTTCTTTCCATATTTTTACATGTATCACAGAGACAAAAAAAAACTATACGCTAAGTACGATCGCCCGCATTCCGAGCGAGTATTACGGTTTGAAGTGGACGACGACGGTATCGCGACGTCGACAATAAAGCTCTCGAGATGTAACTTCTAATCGGCAATAGCGTCCCGCGCGACCAACTGTCGCACTTGGAACGAAGTTGAACGTGTTCGGGATAACATATGGGACAGAGTCGAGTGTGTCTCGCAGTGTGTTTCGCGACCCTTTTCGCAGCAGACTACTTCAAGGATTGATACCATCACTCGGCCTTTCTCGTTTGCAAATTGACACACTCTTAGCTCTCCCCTACACAGGTTTATCTTCCACCCAATTTTCAAAGTCCAAATTTTATCCCCTCTTCGAGTAAAGGGCTGTCTTTTGTATTTAAGTAGAGGCGCTATAATTTTAGTATAAGATTTAAACCTCGACGCAAGATGATACTTGCATTCATTTCTGATAACGAAATCATGACAATTAATGGGCTTCAGGTCAGTCTTTGAGCATTAAGATTTATAACACAATCAAATATAAAAATAACAATACAGTTTAATTCCTACAATTTAAGTTTTTAATGTCCTAAAAAGTGCTTATTTCTCGCGCGAAAAATCATGTAAAGGAATAAAATAAAACAAAGCACTCACATTCTTCCTTGATAGTAAAACGGCTTGGTGTTTTGACCCTCCGTTCTAAAACAAAAGAAAAGGGAATGTAAACAAATTGAAGAGCTAAATTAAAAATAGCCCTTAAAACTAATTAAAAATAATAAATTTAATTGCAATATGCAACCAAATCTTAAAAAAAAAAAAGAAAAAATAATATCAGGATAAGCTGTTGCTGTTTTACAATAAAATAATAATAACAAAATTGCTAAATAATTGAATTTAATTGAATTCGCTTAAATAAGCTCTTGCAGATCAATTAAGTTAAAATCATTTTACGTGTATTAAATAAAGTGCTTCTGTGAGTGCCTCGCACATAATCACACAAAAAATGTTCAACGAAATCCTAAAAAAAAAAAAAAACTGTCGATTTACCGTCACCATTCCGCTAGAGATTTGAGTGCGCGTCGACACAATTGCTGAGTACGAGCGCCGTTCGCGTATCCCGAGGTTGCAGGCGCCATAACTTTTTTATAGGTCACATTGTGTGTGTCACTAACATTTCAACTTGCCTGCACTTTTCCCATATCAGGGATACATAATTTACTCGCCGCTATTACGAGCGGGAGCGAGTTCTAACATATTTCGCGCGGCGTGATCGCGCGTTGCGATTCGCCACTTTTTCAAATACGAATTATTAGATTACACGCTCGCATGATAATCTTTATCATACTACGGCCCGGGTATCGCGCGTACAAAAATATTTTACGTAATATGATTTTTCACGCGCGTGTGAATTAATCATATCGCACTTTACACGATAATTGTACGCGTGCATGTCCGTGTAATTTACGTCGATTCCGATTAATTATAAATAGCAAATAAACATTCGAGCGTTGAAAGAGTATTTGAGAAACCGGATAAAATGATAAAATTGCAAAATCAAATATTCCGCTGAAAAATTAATTGCGCACAAAACTTCTCATTGTTATAATTATTATAACATTATTACAATGAATTCTAACAAATATATATTAATTTGGATATTTCAATGAAACAAGAGAACAATAATTTGCATATAAATTGCACATAAAAATAATATTTCCTGCAAACACGTTTCGCATATTAAAAATAATATTTATTTTAATATATTAAAAATATATTATTATTTTAATTATGTAATAAGTTAATAATTATTACAATAATAATTATTATTATTATATAATAACTTGATGATTTTCATATATAGCTTCTAGCTTGCTGTTTTATCTACCTCTTTTTGTATATTAAAATATTATTTAGTTATCTAAATATTATCAATTTAAAAATCTAAAACTTCACTCGCAAATTTAAAGTCGCCTGTGATAAAAATTCTGAAAATAATGATATAAACAAATACTGATAACCACTTTGTATACTCGTCAATCATATCATAGACGGATTATATAAATACATACGAAAATATTCATGCACTTAAGCTCTACGTCCTCAGTTATCTGTATTTCTCAGTTATTTGTGCGTGTATTGTAAAATCACATTTATTGACTATTACAATCGCAAATTTATCCATTACAAATGTCTTGTTCCACGTAACTTGGAATCGAACCTCAAAACGGACGATCGATAACAGACAAGAGAGTAATTCAACAAGAGAGTTGAATTTTTGCAAATCCATAAATGTCGCGTTTTCTTTCTTTTCCGCGCGAATCTCGTGTAATAAGCACACTCGACATCAGCTTGTAAAAAGTAAATATACGGAAGGTGAAATTGATGAGAGTTCCTTGCGTATTGCGCGATAAGAGTTTTCTCTCGGAGGGATAATTTAGGAGTTAAGCAAGGCTACTGCTTCTCCTTTTGGAAAGTTCTCGCTTCTTGTGGCTGTATACAGGAAAACACTGAAAACGTATAAGTTTCAACTTCCGAACAGCATTTGTAAGTAAAGCCCTGTAAATAAATCTATCAAAGCCCATTAAAATATTTTCAAATAAATTCATATTTGATTAACCGATCAAATTTTATTCATGCGTAGATTAATCAAAATTAGTTCCGAGTCATAATTTGTTCAAAAGCTCACGATTAAATAACAGATTTAATAAATGTATTACATAAAATTGGAATAAAAGCACAATGGAACTAAATTTTTTAATAATTATACATTTTTACATATCTAAATCTGTAATATTAATATCGAGATAATTAATATCGTAATTTTTCTGTGTATTTATTGTAGATTATTATTTTTCTACCCAAGTTGACTTTTCCATGGTCTCAAAGAACTTCCAAAAAAATATATCTATAACCCAAGTCGGATTAAATCTCATGTGGCTCACATCGAAATACGGCTTCTGGATTTAAATGAACCGGCGGAAAACGTTTAACATTTAGACTCGTGTCCTTTCGGGTTCATGCAATCCTGCCGTGTGCCAGCGACATAATCGTGAGGTTACATAAACGCGGCCTAAACACCATTTAGTTTCCCATCATGAGCCACTTAATCTCCGATCGCGTAAACTCCCGGCGGCAACAACGGAAGGGAACCAACAATGCATTGTGAAGAGAGAGAGAGAGAGAGAGAGAGAGAGAGAGAGAGAGAGAGAGAGAGGGAGAGAGACATATGTGATTATGCTCTCGACAAACAGGAGAACTCTGTCCCGCAAGAGTCACGTGGCGCCGTAGAAGTGAACACCACCTCTCTTTCTCTCTTTCAATGTAGCGCTTCATGGAAAAACTTACCCTACGCGATAGGCGATCGGCGAGCACGCCTCCAAGGAAAACAACCCCGAGGACTCGGGCCTGCGTTCCCACGTATATACGCTAACTCAATCCCAGTATTCTCCGTGTAACGGTTCCGATTACACGTCGCTTACACTCGGAGTGTACCGTCAAATCGATACACGGAAAAAATGATTTTGTCGAAAGGTCTAGAAATTTTGCTGAATACAGATCTGAAAATTAATCCTTTTTGAATCATCCAAAAATTTTTGTTAGAATGTCAAAAATAATAAGCATTGCTATAAAACGTTTTGATATTCTATACCAATTATTTTGATGTTCCTGCAAAATTATTTTGATTATTGAACATAAATTATTTTCAGATCTGGATTGAGCAAAATTGTTCTTTCCGTGTACGCATTCGGAAATTTGATTTTTCAAATAATTAATACTTAATAATTATAAGTAATAATACTTTAACAATTAATGTATTGTTAGTAAAAAGACACATGGGCAAGGTATCTTTTTCCTGAAAAAATTAAATCTTAAAATTTCTATTTTATTTCATTATATAACTATATTTAAGAGACAGTTACAAACGACAAGTAAATCAAGCTGTAGCTAGCTTAAAACATTCTGCCGTAAAATAAAATAAAGGTCACAAATATGTTAAAAACAGGAAATTGAAAAGGATTAAAATTTTCTGAAAACGACGCAGTATTTTTCATATACTCAGGTTATAAAGCTTTATCCTCTGTTTAATTTTAGATGAAGTTTACTTTGGCAGAATTTTAGTTCATAATTTGATTGAAAACTGAGATATGTACAGAATATTTAAAAATATTTAAACAAAAATTCAATGGCAAACAGAGCGGATTATTGTAAACTTTATAAAATTTCTTTTACAAAGCTATTTAAAAATAGAGAGATATCAAAGTAACTTTAGAATAAATTTTTTTATATCAATAAATTCAATTTAAATACTAAAGCTGTAATTATCAAAAATAATGTAAGCTAATATTATGTATGCAATAGACTCCATATTATCAACGATAATTTAATAGCTTGAGCCTAGATAGAGATTACTCGCCTTTATAGATAGACATTATATTTGGTTGCTGTAGTTGAAATAACACTTATTGTTTTAGTTGAAACAAAGTTTTTAATCTTATCAAGAAACTCTTACTTCTGCTTGTTTACAATCAGAATGACGTACCAATAAAAGTTCTTATCTTTTTTAATGTAATTCCTTCATTGATTCCAATTCAAAATGCGATTTTTAACAGACATCGCGTTTTAGACATCGATTCTAATGTACCGAATGTTTATAAAAATAATTTATTCAATCTAAATGTAACGACATATTTCCCAAGTTTTTTAAAAACAAATAACTAAATATTATTTAAATAACCAATTTAACGCTAATATTATTTTTGATAATAATAATTACGATAATATTAATTATGAGATAAAGAATTAAAAGTATAAATGTTAAAAATTCTTCAACTATTAAGGATCATGCATTTTTCCGTATCCTTTTTAAAAGATTAGATATTGTTTTTATACGTGCGATTTCCTAAAAAGATGACGTGTTGTTTTACGACACGGTCCAATGATCCCACGACTATCTGTAGACGTTTTCTCTTACCATTCGAAAAAAAGACAGCCATCGATCAAACCTCGATTAGTCGATCCTTCAAACCGGAAATGAGTTGACCTCGGGTTGGCCACGCGCGAGAAAAAAAAATCGTAATGCCGTAATACCCCCGGGGTGAGATGTCGTAACCCGATGCGGGTGGCCGAACACGCGCGCGCGCGCGTGTGTACGCGGGAATTGTTTTTCTGCCGGGAAATATTATATGTCGTCGACCTTTCTTCGTGCTAAAGGCTTCCGCGTGTGGTACGCTTATCGATTTCGACGCGACACTTGTAACACGTGAGTTTCAGAATTACAGAAAATGCGATAATCGTCACATATATCTCGTTTCGTTAAACGAAGATAATTAAATTAGATTAGGTTTCTCTTTACATAAACGCAAGTAGGAATATATAATGCCTTTTAGATGCTATCTTACATCTCTCGTTCTGTGCACGGAGAGAATTTTTTTTTTATTTACCATGCAAATCATGTTAATTGTGGGACAATATAGTATTTAGGCAAATTTTACTGTGCACTACAATAAATTTTACTGTAAAATACTTATTGTAGTGCACAGTAAAATTTGCCTGAATACTATATTGTCCCACAATTAACATGATTTGCAGGGTAAATTAAAAAAAAAAAGTTCTCTCCGTGTGGGCACCACAATCGAATCATGACGAATAGCGACGCGGATTGGCAATAAGGGGACGATAACCGGTATTTAACGACGTTA